GAAGAAGAAAGGCTACGATGGGTCGAAAGCAGATATCTGGTCTTGTGGGGTAATTCTCTATGCTCTGCTTTCTGGGTATCTGCCATTTCAAGGTGAGAATGTGATGAGAATTTACAAGAAGGCATTCAAAGCTCAGTACGTATTACCAGATTGGATTTCACCCGAAGCAAAGAATTTGATCTCAAAATTATTAGTGGTCGACCCAGAAAAGAGATATTCGATCGAAGACATCATGAAGGATCCGTGGTTTCAATATGGGTTCATGAGGCCAATCGCATTTTCAATGAGGGAACCAAATTTTGAAGATTTCGCAGATAATGACAACATCGAAGAAGTCGAAGAAATGGTGGGAGGAGGACGACAGGGAGGGGAAAATAATAATAATAATAACCCAGCACAATCACGTCCATTTTACAATGCGTTTGAGATAATTTCATCATTGTCACATGGGTTTGATCTGAGGAGATTGTTTGAGACGAGAAAGAGGTCGCCGTCGATGTTCACGACAAAGTTCTCGGCGGCGGCGGTGGTGGGGAAGCTGGAGGCGGTGGCGAGGAAGTTGAATCTGAGGATAACGGGGAGGAAGGAGTACATGATGAGGATGCAGGGGACGACGGAGGGAAGGAAAGGGAAGCTGGGGATGACGGTGGAGGTGTTCGAGGTGGCGCCGGAGGTGGCGGTGGTGGAGTTTTCCAAGTCCTCCGGCGATACGTTGGAGTACGTGAAACTGTGTGAGGAACAAGTGAGACCTGCGCTGAAAGACATAGTCTGGAGCTGGCAAGGTGACGCCAATCCTCATCCATAAGCTCAAGGCAGAGATATCAATGTTGGAGGAGAGATTGATTCTATGTAAAGAAGAACAATAATTTGGGGATGTTTTTTATTTGATTTATTTCTACTACTACTACTATTTAATTTGGGTGCCAGGCTTGTGAATCCTATTATTTGTAGTTTAAATTTCCAAGGCTGTGACTGTGAACTGAGAAGAAGAGTGAGCAAAGATTATTCAGGGTCTTGAAACGTTGGTTGAATTAGTTATTATTAAACTAACAAGAGTGGTCTAATCAGTTTTCTTTTTAGTTTTCTTTTTTGTTCCCCACCACCCGTTCACCAGAGCTTTGTCCTGACACACCTGGGTATGGTGGGTGAGTCTCCCAACAAGGGTTTTCTATATTCATGAGGAATCGAACTTGAGACCTTACTTAAGCGGAATCGAGCCGCTTATCATTCGGATCAATCCCTGTTTATAGAGTGGCCTAATCAGTTTATAACTTGTGAAATTAAAATTTTTGGTGGTGGGTAATTTACAAGTGTCACTGTAGTGAATACGAGATATTAATGTTAAAATGGTGTTTTTGTGGGTTTTCTCAAAAATTAAAGTGATTTAGGGGTTATAATTTTTTTTAAGAAGAAAAAGGTTAATAATTTTTTATAACTTAAACCGAAAAGATAATAATGAGATTTAAAATTTTATATTACATTCATTGCCATTTACTTATGGGAAAGTTACCCAAAAAAAACCATGGAATTAGAAAAATTGTAAATTGGGACTCATAACAATATTATTATGGGTTTTGATAATAATTTTTATGAACTGGTTTTTCCGTGTGATTTTTCTAATTCTATAATTTTTTTTTGTGATTTTCCTTTTACTTATTAGTCATTCTCTTCAATGCTTATACACAAGTCCAAATAAAAGGAAAAAAATAGAAGTCCAAAAATTGACAAATTCAAATAATAACTGGTTTTATCAAGCATCACTTGTTATTGATTAGTCATGTTAGCACCAACTCAAACCCAGTTTTGGCTGACCAGTTAATTCAGCTTAATTAATATCTTGGTAAATTTATAGCTTGCTGAGGACATGAAGTTAATTTTTTGATTTGCTTTCTTGTGATAAGAATAGAAAAGAAGATTAAAGTAGGATTGGGGATAATATGCTATTTAATATTAATGTCTGTTTTTAGTAACTTCCAAAACAAAATATAAACTCATCAGAAAATTTTTCAAAAAAAATAAAATAAAACCCTTTCTGCAGTATCATTATCATAATACGTTAAGAGAAGAGGATGGAAATGGAAAGATGAAGATGGTGGAAGGATGTGACATGAGGAAAGGGAAAGATTAGGAAGAAAATTAAACGTGGGGAGTCCACATCATAGCTTACGGTACTCCCTAATCAGATATTGCTTCATCAACAAGGCAGATGACGTAAACGACACAGTTTGGATCATTTTAGAACCTGGTTTCTTGAGGTGCTCATTTTCTAATTTCTACACTAACTTCACCCAAAGAGGGAGAATAGATACCCTAGCCATAGTGTCACGCAAGCACACAAAAATTGGAATCATAATGAAGCATTTATTGCCAACTATTATTATTTTATTTTTATTTCCTGTACTGATTTTTTTTTTTATGATCTTCTTATTTATTGGGACAGTTTTATCCCAACATATTAAATTTATAACGTTACAAATTCCCTATATATATTAATTACGAACAACGATTTTAATTATTTTTTTACTCTACAAATTAGTTAAAAGTATTTTATATTTAAAATTCAAGGAAGTATCTAGGGAAGTCAAGTTCAAAATTTCATGTAAGATTTGAAATCAAGTATTGGATAAATATGAGAGTTAATTTCATTCTAGACACCAACTCTTTAAATTTAAATTAACTGATAATGCTAAATATTAAATAGTTTGAATTGAATACTTTATAAAGTATCATCAAAATATTAAATAAATAAATGCAAATTATCATGTCCGCAATAAAAAGGAAGAGAAACTAAATTCCCAAATATACATAAATGGTTTTCTCTTAGTACAGCAAAATTTCAGGTGGAATGTGTCAAAAAAAAAAAAACAGCTACCTTATCAAGATTAGAATAAGTGAAATTAGAAGTTCTTTTTTTTTTTTAAATGTGATTATATAAAAACTTAATTACTTATGAAGAGAATCTCGTGATCAGTACTAAAATTTTTTTGAATAATTTACGATGTAAGGGGATTAGATATTTTTGGCTAAAAAAAAAAGGTTGATCAAGGGAGTCATGGCCAGATGGGACAAATATAGAAGAAAAAGAAATGTTGGGGGGCGTAAATAAAATAAAAGGGGAGTGGTGGGGTCAGGTGGCGTGGGGTGGGTGAAGAGCAAAAGGGGCCTTTACGGAGAAAAAAATGTTACTTTTGGCAGAACAAACCAAATGAAAGTGCAACGAGCATGAGGCCGACCCTCCATTATATCCATACTGAGTGGCTCCCTATTCCCAAACCCCACCCCTAAAAATTCAACATTTACAACTACTTTTATTCTGCCTTGTGGGTCCCCACTCTTTTGAAATTGCTTTCTTTGGACCAATTTTGGCAAATGGATTTCAAAAGCACTTATCACGAGCAGCACGATAAACTTGCCAACCAAAAAAGTCCTGCGTTTGATATGAAATCAGCTCATTTCGTTTAATTATATTACAAAATCGGTCTTACATTTAGGTCTAAAAAAGTAACATACTCCTCTGATCCTATTTATAAGACAGAAAAAGAAAATTTTTTTAATCATTTTTATAAGTCACTTCATTAAATTTTTAGTGTGAATATACTATTTTGTCTATCATTTATTATAATGTAGGTAGTTATCTTTTTTGAAAAGTGTATATATTAAATATGGGTAAAGTTGAAAATTTATAATATTTTAATAGATAGTTAATGCATTTTAAGGTTTTTCTTGATCTGTGTGAAATATACTGAAAGTGCTTTATAAGTAGGATCAGAGGAATATATATTTAGGTTAAATTGTATTCAATACTTTAGGGTGTTTTTTTAGTGGCATGAGGTATCCAAGATAATTTTTTATGTATTCAGCATTTGAAGTATTTTTCATATAACAATCAATATTTTAATATAATCTTTTTATGTATTTAACATTTTAAAGTTTTTTGTTTTCAGTCCGTAGCAAAACACTCCTATTTGTTGGAAAATAATTTTTATATTCTAAATCAATCACCTTTCGACTCAGAGGGGAAGGTCGGCAGAGGAAATCAGATTTTTTTTATTGCTACTTCGAGATTTTTTGTTGGTTTCACTTTCTATTCCAAAAAAAAAGTACTTTTTCAATAATACTCTAACTTCAAAGCTCATTTCGCTTTTTCCTGAAAGGCTGATGATTTTGCATACAAACATTGGCCACGTCTTTGATGATCAGGTTGTTGTCAGTCTGCTTCTTGTGTTGTCTCACATTACCTAGCCATGACAACAGAGATTTGAAGGTGTCCGATCCTCATTCATCAATCAAAATGCAGGCCAATTCACCTAACTATTGTTTTGCTCTGCCTCGACACTCTCTGTCTGTGTCTGTGTGTCTGTGTGAGAGAGAAGATAAAGTCTATCCAACTGCTGTCTAATAAATTAGGTGATGCTTGAGGTTATCTAACTCTTGTTGACATTTAGATGGTAGTGATCCATTTGATTCACAAGCTTAAATGTGATACTTTAATCTTCAATTCAAATACAGATTGCTTGTTATTATTGGGCCACTTACTAAATCAAAATAACATCTTATCTGTAACATTTTGTCATTGTTAAGTCACCCCTTCAGACAAGGGAACGAAAGAAGCCTCCCAATTAAACAATTTTACAGTGAGTACCTAACTGCCATTCCTTTACAAAAATTACTATTTTAATTGAGTCAACTCTCTTGAAAAGAATTCTTTTCTCATATCTATGAACATTCATGTAGTTAAAATAACAACATTTTTTTATCAATGAAATTTTCTCTTTCCACTCACTCTGTTTCTTTTCATTGCATTCCATTTTACTTGTCCAATTCGATTCTTCTCAAGCACTAAACTGCGTGTCATAGTTAACAGCTAGTTGCCTCAGCAACAGCGCTAATAAGATTCCCTCCCTTATTGTAGTTTTCCCCTTCCACTAGTTGTATTAAATGAAAAAAAAGGCTCATCATAACTAATGGCCACTGTTATAGTTTCCCCCCCTCCACTTGAGTGTATTGAAGATGCCCTTCTCCATTGCAGTAAACTGCTTGCACACTTCATTAACATATGTTTAGTTTTGAGATTAAATATGAAAGAAGAGCCCTTCTGTTTGCTCAGGAAGGGAACCTAGCCTGGCAAATCCTAAGTACATATAACTGTCATAACGGAGAAAGAAAATATGAAACAAGACGAGATAAATTCTAACACTAATAAAGCCAAAATTAGAAGCTCTCTGCACAACCTCATTGCATGAAACTTAAAGAACGGTAACCTTTGTTGGCACCTTTGCTCATATTCTTGATGCATTTCCCACTACAAGATTCAAGCCTTTCGCAATTTTGCCTTCTGCACGTTTTCAGTGTCTGGTTCGATCTTCTTCATACCAGAAACAATCTTCAGTCTCCTGGTTTTAGGCCTCCCAACTGATTCTTGTTCATTATTAGTTTGAGGAGGATCAACCGCAGCTTCATCAACTTCAATGGGTTCATCAAGTGCAGAATCATCCCTAGGTCTGATCTTTTTCTTATCAGAAACTACAGTCACCCTTTTGGTTTTTGACTTCCCAGCTGAGTCTTGTTCATCATTAGTTCTAGGCGGGTCAACTGCTGATTCATTAACCACAATGGGTTCATCAAATGCAGAATTATCTTTAGATTCAATCTTTTTCTTATCAGAAAGAATCTTCAATCTTCTGGTTTTAGACTTCCCAGCTAATTCTTGGTCATTATTAGTCTGAGGAGGATCAACTGCTGATTCATCAGCCACAATGGGTTCATGTAGTGCAGAATTATCTATAGGTTCAATCTTTTTCTTATCAGAAAGAGTCTTTGATCTTCTAGTTTTAGACTTCCCAGCTGATTCTTGGTCATTACTAGTTTGAGGAGGATCAACTGTTGATTCATCTGCCACAATGGGTTCATCAAGCACAGGATTATCTTTGGGTTCGATCTGTTTCTTTGCAGGAAGAATCTTTGATCTTCTGGTTTTAAACTTCCCAGCTGAGTCTTGCTCATTCTTAGTTCTAGGTGGATCAACTGCAGAGTCATCAGCTTCAATAGGGTCATCAAGTGCAGAATTATCCCTAGGTTTGGTCATTTTCCTATCAGAGAGAATTTTCGATCTTTGAGTTTTAGACTTCCCAGTTGAGTCTTGCTCATTCTTAGTTCTTGGTGGATCAACTGCAGAGTCACCAACTTCAACGAGTTCATCAAGTGCAGAATTATCCTTAGGTTCGCTCTTTTCCTTATCAGAGAGAATCTTCGATCTTTTGGTTTTAGGGTTCCTTGTTGAGTCTTGCTCGTTCTTAGTTCTAGGTGGACCAACTGCAAAGTCATCAGGTTCAATGGGTTCATCAAGTGCAGAATTATCCCTAGGTTCAATCTTTTCCTCATCAGAGAGAATCCTCAATCTTTTGGTTCTAGACTTCACAGCTGACTCTTGCCCATTCTTAGTTCTAGATGGATCAACTGCAGATTCACCAGCTTCAATGGGTTCATCAAGAGCAGAATTATCCTTAGGTCCAATCTTTCTCTCATCAGAAAGAATCTTTGATCTCTTAGTTATAGACTTCCCAGTTGACTCTTGCTCATTCTTAGTTCTAGGTAGGTCAACTGCAGAGTCATCAATTTCAATGGTTTCATCAAGAGCAGAATTATCCTTAGGTTCAATCATTTTCTTATCAGAGAGAATATTTGATCTTTTGGTTTTAGAACTCCTAGTTGAGTCTTGCTCATTCTTTGTTCTAGGTGGATCAACTGCAGAGCGGTCAGCTTCAATGGGTTCATCAAGTGCAGAATTATCCTTAGGTTCAATCTTTCTTTTATCAGAAAGAATCTTAGACCTCTTGGATTTAGACTTCCCAGTTGATTCTTGCTCATTTTCCGTTTGAGGAGGATCAACAGCAGAGTCATCAGCTTCAATGGGTTCATCAGGTGCAGAATTATCCTTCGGTTCAATCTTTCTCCTACCAGAAAGAATCTTTGATCTCTTGGTTTTACGCTTCCCAGCTGATTCTTGTTCATTTTTAGTTTGAGGAGGATCAACTGCAGATTCATCAGCTTCAATGGGTACATCAAGTGGAGAACCATCTCTATGTTTGATCTTTTTCTTATCAGAAGCTACCGTCAACCTTTTGGCTTTTGACTTCCCAGCTGAGTCTTGCTCATTCTCAGTTCTAGGTGGATCAACTGCAGTTTCACCAGCTACAGTGGGCTCATCAAGCGCAGAACTATCTTTAGGTTTGGTCATCTTCTGATCAGAAAGAATCTTCAATCTTCTGTTTTTTGACTTCCCAGCTGAGTCTTGCTCATTCTTAGTTACAGCAGATTCATGAGCCACAGCGGGTTCATCAACCACAGAATCATCCTTGGATTTTCTAGCAGGTTTCACAGATTCCGATTTGGAGATTCTAGCAGATGCTCTTCCCCTATAGATTCATTAGAAGGTTTCAATAGGGACTCAGAAAACACAGTTAGACCATCTATCATGCACACTAACCTTGTCCTGCAACAACTGGCTTTTGCTCCCTTGGCGGACTCCGGTGCTGAATTTCCTTTTCCTTTATCTTCTCTACACATCATGAACAATAAAGTCAATAGAACATTTAAAACTTGAAAGCCATAAGAAGCAGATTCAAACCAAAAACAAATAAAGGATGCATAATTAATTAATGCCATCAACGTAGTGACTACATTTATGTCCAGCGACTGATAAGAACTCCAACACTATGTTCAAGGTGCCTAAAACAAATATTCCTATTCTCTTTCAAGGAAAGATCGATTGAAAATTTGTGAGCATTGAAATCTGGTTGTACCCCTAGATTTGAGACCTCAGACCACATATACAGCATCTGGCTAAAGCAAAACATAAGCAGCAAGGAGGCCCTATATCGGACAGAAGACTAGCACACCTATAATGACAATGGGGTCAACAAATTTTTAACGACCAGTTACTCTTAAGAAAAACTCATGCCCATCGTCAAGTACTTTAACTTCGAAGCAATTACATAGATCCTGGAACTGATAATGGCCAAAGACAGTCTTTGCATGGACAGGATGATGCTCTCATATCAGCAGTAATTGAGGGTTTGACTGGATAGCTTGAGGTGAAAGCAGTACTATCAGTAATATTCTGCGTTAATGTTTCTCAGATCGGATGGGTATTACTTACGTATCTGATGTCACCGTCTCAATCTGTTGAAGGCCAATTTCTCGATCCTGGCAAGCAGAAGATCAGGAAGTATAAGCTATATCTATGACACAGTTTACAGAACGAAAATGTAATAAGCATCCACATTTAACTCACTGCATCTGGTGAAGCATGGTCTGTAATTAGCTCCCACCGTTGCTTTTTGAGGTTTAAAACTTCCACGTCACCATCAGCATATAAAATCTATTGAAAAGGAATTAGAAACATAAAAGGGCAAAAAAAAGAAAGAAAAAAAACAGTTTCCTAAATTATTTCACACTTTGTAAGTCACTGCCAAAGTAGTAAAGTATACAACTGGGGCAAGTTATATATTGTTGACAAGATAGGGAGAGCAGAAGTTCCTTTATGTTCCTACTATGATCAGACAAAAAGACACACTCTTTATGCCTGTGTAGGTTACAATGAACTAGTATCTTAATCTACAACTACAAGAGTTTTCTTAAATTCTTCATACCTCTCATTAAATATATAAATTCCAACAACTTCATACATCTAACTTGAAAAAGATAAGTCCGTGTATTTGAGAATCCAGCACAAGGAAATTTTAGGTTGACAGCCCGTAGAATCATGGTAAAAATCCGAGCAAAGTAGGAAATGAATGATCACCTCCTCGCATGATAAGTACAAATTGAAAATGAAGGATCGTTTGACACAGCCTTGTCAGAAATTCACAATATTGATGAATGTTTAAATAAGCATAAGGGTCTAAACAAATAAAATAGGATCAGTGAAATCCATCTCACCTTGTGCTTTCCTTTGGCAGGGTCATAAAAATCAACAACACCTTCATAAAACCTGGAAAAAAATGGTAGGTCAATATATATATATATATATATAGGATAATCCAGCTGGTCCTTGAAAAGCATCGATCAACAATTGATTGACGGAGGCAAAGAAAGTATATTCATAAACCAATACTTAAAGCTATCGACATGTCAGGTCCACATGTAAGAAGACCAGGGGACGAACATATGTATGTGGGATTAATTACCCCACCTCACACAAAGAGGAAGAAAAAATTTATATGTATTATGTATGCAAATAACATTGTCATTAAAGAAAGCTTTAACTTTGCCCCCCAAAATTTTTAACTTTGCCCCCCTTACAATTTTTTATCTCTTTCCTTCAATATTTTATTCCTTTTGTTGATCATAAAATTATATTTACGAAGTAATAGATATATTAAAAGTTTTTCAGTAATTTTATGTCTTTTCCTTCAAGAATAATTAATAATATAATCTTCACTTCTGTTTTTCCTTTCACAAAATTTCTTTTATTTGCCATTTTAGTTGTTTTTTTTTGGGCTCACTATAAGGGAACATTTCTACAATGAAAAGAAAGATATTTTTTTCTACATCATTTGACAAATTATTTTTTTTTCTCACGTTTCAAGTAATGAAACCTGTCAAGCATTAAAGCATATCAAGTGAAAGCATTGGTAGCAGATAAATGCAGTGATAGAAATGGATTGTGCAATAGTGATACGGAAACACGTACCTTTTATCCATTGGCCACCAGACCTTGATCCTGCTACCAACTGAAGGTTCATTGCAGTCATGGATTTCAGAAGCCTGAAGAAAAAGTAACAGAAAACAAACATTAAGAAATTTGGCCAAAAAAGATGCATAAATTGAGAAATAAGCAACTTGAGAGGGGTCAGGTTCCACCGGATGAACACCATGAAAATGCTTCTGATGCAAAAGAGTTTTTGTTATAATTTTCAAAATAAAGCTTCATCAAGTCTTGTTAATTTTGGCGTTATCATTCAAACAAAATAGTAGTCCCTAAAGCCGTAAATTTTGACACTAGGCAATGATTAAGATGCATGCACGATTGAAAAGAATGAAACAAACATTTTTTTCCTTCAACTATCAAGCAATAATGTGAAGGAAACGTCTATATTCCTTCATTAATCTTTACAAGATATATCAACTCATAGGTTCAATATAATTAACACAATCATTATTTTTGAGCGTCACCTTTTAAAAAATACTGGGAAGTGTCACAAAAATGCTTGAGGTAAAGCGGCATCTCAAAAGTTTTAGATAGAAAAGATTGAAATTTCAATACATCTGAATAAACCTTTTATGTGTATGTTCTGAAGTCAGGTTTCAAACGTGATTTCCCAGAAGGGTAGTCACATCAGAAATGTGATCTCAAACACAGCCTAAGTAACACATACCTCAACACTAACAGTGGTTCTCTTCCTCCTTCGTTTTGTTTGAGGGGTTTCTTCAGCTCCGGTCAGTTTCTTACCCAAAGACTCAGTTAGCTGCTGCTAAAATTGGTCACAATATTTGTTCCAAGAAGACAAACAAAGTGAGATTTTACTAGTACTTATATACATGTTCTGTTCAAGCAGATAGTACCAGGTCAGTTGGCCCTACCTTAATAGTACAAGAGCCATTGACATCTTTATTGGGTGGAGCATCAAGCTTCCTCCTTCTCTTAACACTCGTTTGTGTTAAGGCCTGATCCTCCTCTGTATTTGTTGTTTCTATATTCATCACTGGCGTGGCTTTCTCATCTTCACCAGGCTTACCAATTATGTCATCAACTACCGATTCAGTATTCACGGCAGTATTCTCATCAGTCTTGGAAGCAACTTTGATTTTCCTCAGAGGTGCCTGATTTTTCATTTCAGCCTCTTTCATTACTTCAAGATCCCTTTCCGACCTCAGACTAGCAGGTTCCAAAGAAACATCCTCATTCTGTGCAATCAAATGGTCTTCCTTGGTCATTGATACAGACCTAGGGTCAGCACCTTGATTATTGGTGATACTATTTTTCCTTGGCCGACCCCTTTTGCGATGGCTTTTGTCAGGAGTTCTCTGATCTGTTGAAGGTTGAGCAGCATCAATGTTCTTGTCAGTTTCACGCTGGGATACTAGAGCTTTACAGCCCTTATTTTCAGATTTCTTCAGAACAGGGTCCTTTAGCAAATCATGATTTGCGGGAGGTGAAAGCTCAATATCACTATCACAAGCCTTTCTGCCTTGAGATGTTTTTGTGGATTTCTTATTGGTTTTACGTAGAGAAAGTTCACCAGTACTTTTAGGTTCTAAAAGCAACTTATCCTCTTGGGATGCAGAGCTTTTAGAAGGTGGAAGACCAGCACCCCTATCACAAGCCTTTTTGTGTTTTATGGTTTTCCCTGTTTTAGGTTGGGAAACTTCACCCACATTTTCAGTTGGAAAATAACAGCCACCGTTGCTAGCCTTTTGAAGCTTAACTGCTTTTGCAGATTTGCTGTTCATACAAATCTGAGAGTGATCATAGCCTTCTTCAGGATTCATTAAAGAATTGGGTCTATGACCTCTTTTCTTTGGCATGACATCAAGCTCAGCTTCTGAACTTGATTTTTCAACTGACCTTGAATTTCCATTTTCTAAATTGGTTTTTGTATTCTTTCTTTTCTCATTCTTAGTAAGATCAGAATAAGGTTGTCTCTTTGCACTTTTCCTTTTGATGGTTTCACTGTCCACAGTAGAACTGGGATTTCTTTTGTTCAGCTTGGAATCATCCATGGTTTGAGCAACACGTCTTGCACAAGTCATATCTGGTTCTTGGTCCTTAATTGCCCAAAGAATAAAGATGCTTTAATATTCTAGAAAATCAGCGGAATAATACTCTGAATGCTTATTGTCATTGTGATAAGAGAAGGCATGCACATAAAGAGAAGTAGGGAACAAGACTCCCAATCAATCCTACTAACTTAGTTAATTCAAAATTCAAAACAAACTGTCAACAACTAATAACAACCAGAATACAAAGGAAACAAAGGGACATAAGTCAGAAAGGAAAAATGCAAAGAATAATAACAATAAGACTTAAGCAGGATAGGATCATGATCTCCAACAAATATGGCTTGATTGTTTCATTATGCTAAGTTTGCAATTGTGGTATAATGTAAATAAAATACAATAACTTGTAGAGAGATGGAAAAGATAATTACATCACAGTATTGCTCATCTGCACTTTTGCACACGGAAAGCTCGTTTTCACCTGCCTGAACCTGGAAGCATTGCACCACAACCAATCCTAACTTACATGTAGCTCAAAGCCTCAAACCATCTTAAATAGCTGTTTGTTAGGAAACACAAAGCTTATGGGGAGTATGGATTGTGAAACTATGTAAGGTCCTATTATTACAGAGCATTTATTAAAAATATGAAGATGACGGAACAAACAAGGCATTAGGGTTTATACTCCAACAAGATAAGATCAATACATGGATTTCTCACTCAATCTATTGTAGCAATTCTTTCCCCTCATCCAAAGTTGATTTCTGGAGAGTCAATCCTTCCAACAAGTACATAACATTTTAACAGGATTATCCAGACCAAATATAAGTAACAAAAGGCCGACTGCACATTATTGTTGACCTATGTCACAGACATTTATCCAGTTGGTTGTGTGCAGTACCTTAGCTTTCATCATATTCATGAAACAAAGATCTGTCCCTAAATCTAATTTGATCAAAAGGGAATTGTAAATAAACTAACGAAATCAACAGTGATGGTGAAGGTTCTAGAGAAAGCATAAGAATTAAATTTGTTACATGGTTTCTCATGTCATGCAGCAAAGGTAAGATCAAGCAAGAAAATAAAAAAGTAGTTATGCCAGTTGGTTGGATAGGGTGTTGCATAAGACAAGTAGAACACACCAATGGATCTCCAGAACCATTTGAGTGATTGCATTGAAGTGTTTCAGATCCTCTCTGGCAAATTGAAACTACTATTTCACCAAAAGCATCCAGAGGTCTGCCAGTGGACTGCACCGCTCTCATAACATAGGGCTGAAGCTTAGCAGCACAATTGGTGATAACTTTCTCCGCCAATGACCAAGAGATAGGTGAAATTGCCTGGGAAATTAATAAAGGAAATCAACAAAGTTTAACAAAAGGAGATGAGAAGAAATTGACATAATGCAAAGGAAGTTACCTCATTTTCCTTTCTCAGGCCATCTAATATTGTTCGTAGAAGATCAGCAGAAATTTCTTCACTCTCGTTCAAGACCATTGTCATTATTGCTTCAATGGCAAAGGTCACAACCTCAGGGTGGTTTGGCCTTGAAATTGAGGAAGAAAAACCACAAGCCATTAGTAAATCTATAAGTGTATGAAGTTATTCAGGACGAGGGAAAAAGCAAGCTAGTTTTGCATTGGTACTCGTTACAATAACAACATCCCAGAACTTTAAGAGCTACCCAATGGCAGAGACATCCTCGACTCTTTCGGTGGCACCACTTCACTTGAGATGCCCGACACAAAAATTTCATCAAAGGCATTTTAACCTTCAGAAGTACTTCTCATCTATCTTCTCAAAGATCACAGATATATAATTTCGCAGTAAGGTCCGAATTACGACATCAAAATGTATTTTAATCCTTTTATGAACTTCTTTGTAAACTATATATGTCAATAATGTCAATGCCAACTAAGTGCAAATGAAGTTGGGTGCCAATATTTTCTTCAGATGCTGTACATCTTACGCACAGCGTAAAAATAAAGGGAACAAATCGTAACTCAAGGCATCTAAATGTGATCTCTGATTAAGCATCAATTTGACAAATTCAAAATTGTGTACCGATACTAATTGCGATACAACAAAGGTTATAAATCAGTTCTTAAATTTCTGTCTTTTCCATAATTGATATATTTAATTAATACCCACTTGCGAAAACCAAAATACACCTTCTTTGTCAGCAAGATTTACAAATTTCATATCCAAATATGTTTTGCATACGAACAAACAGATAGCAGAAATGTTGACATGGCCCCAACCTAACAACTCTTAGGAAAATCTGAAACATTTGAACGATCAAGTCATCACACTCAAGATCCATCATCAGCAGGCATGATCTGACCCTTGCGACATTATCAACTATTAAAAGTGCCTTGTCATAACTGCGGCTGGGTACATCGGATAATTTTTCAAAAGCTTCAACTGTGAGCTTGAAAATTTCCTGTTCACCATGAAATGTAGTTCAATCTATGCATAGTTCCAGCAAGAAATAAATGGCACAGTCATTAAGAAATTGTAATCTGTATATGAAGTTTCTTAACAAGGTTTGATAGAAATATGAAATGTTTGATTTATATAATAACTATTATTACCTTCATATGTTCATCACCATAAGGGGCATCTGGTGCTGTTATTCTGGTAATCTCAGCAATGCAAGATGCGACAGAAATCTTAACATGCTCGTCTGAGTGCCTCAAAAGTTCACCTGAAATCAATGCTTTCATTGATGGTAGAATTGCTTCTTTCACGGTCTCATCTGGTTCTTGATCCAAAGTTGATAATATATTCTCAAGTTTCTGAAAGTTAGAAAACCACACGAGAGAATCAAGTCAGAGTCGCACTACGTTGGGAAGGGTTGTTGTAGAGGAATTCTTTTGACCAGAAGAACGAAAGCAAGAGCTCACACACCCACCAACAGGCACATGCTTACATATAATGCAACAATTTACAAAAGGCCATTTGCTATGACATCTGCGAAGATACTAGAATATTTTCTCATTAATGTAAATGGTGTAATCTGTATCATTATTATAGGTTCAGATACAATTCCGATAGGATATTATTTTGTCATTATGAGCCAAATAACTAGGCTCCTCCCTTCTGTGATATACCTCATTCCTTATTCTGAAATATACAAGAGAAATTCATACCATATTTTTCCATATTACTACAACATAAAAAATATAAAGAGCATCAACTTCACTTAGTATCAAATGCCTCCATGAGAATAATTCTAAGAAAACTACAAAACTTAAGGAAAGTAATAGACCTCCATGAGAATCATTCTAAGAAAAAAGAAACTTAAGGAAACTACAAAACTCCAACTTGAAAATGCTCCATTCAGATGCAGAATTTGCGTGTCCCAACCTATTAGATATGCCTATTAGCTTCAAGACCCTAGGCTCAACATGGGGGGTTGTTTTCCCACTTGCTTACCCTCTCCCTAATTAGACTCCTACTAAAGTCTCCCTTAGACCAAAAGAAATGGCAAGGCAAACATCAAAATAGAGTCTAATACCTAAAATTGTTGTAGAAAGGAAAAATGGATAAGGAAAACCACACATCTCCACCATGAATCATAAACCCATAACAGCAACAGAATGCAGCAGCAAATAAACACCAACCCAATTCAACAAAACATTGAAATTCCCAGAACATAAATAAGAAATGAAGATACGCGGAAGAAAGGGAATTGAGGAAATCACATCAAGAAGAGCGAGAAGCTGATCACTGGAAGAGGGATGATTAAGAAGGCCGTCCCCAACATCTACAAGCGCCTGAAGCACTTCTCTGTCAGGAGGAGCCATTGATTTCAAGCTCAGAAACCTAGAAACTCAACCACATTTGCGTTGAAAGTGAGGGCCGTATATTCATAACCCTAGCCAAACACCAAGCAAATGCAAACAACACAACACAACAAAATCAGGGATATCTGGCAAAGTGTTGAACATGCAAGCATACACTTCCAACATAAACCGGTTTCAAATTTCACTCATTTTGTCATAATCACAAAAAGAAAGTCTTCGGATGTCGAATCCCACTAATACATACTACTTTGGGCAGTTTTCTCGGATTAGAGTAACCATGAAAAAAGCTTCTTTCTTTTATTAAGGAGACTCTCTCATTGGCGCTTTAATGCCTCTGTAGCTGGGCGTGGGACTTGTGCGACAATTACCATTTTATCCTCGTGGTTTGAATTCTTCTTTGGTCTTCACTGTACTAAGTTGGCAACTGAGATAAAAATTTCACCTTTTTCCTCAGTGCTTGTTGTCGTCAACGGAGAAAACAAAGGAAAACCATTGCACCAGATTTTAACTTCAAGGTAAAATTAAGTATGATAAACATCGTTAAGATATTTAAAATCAAAATTGCTGAAGTTTACACAAATTATCATTTTCGTGTCATGTGTGCTATCTACAAGCATCATCAATATCAATCGATAATCAATAACTCTTCTACCAAATCACAGTACATCTAGAAATGGCTTAGCACCGGCCCAAGACATAAATCACTGTTCAGAAGTTGCATTCATTAGAAAAAAAAAGTCTTTCTGATTTACAAGCTTTCTGTGCATTGCGTGGAGTAACACAAGCTAGTTGATCGTAAACCTGGAAGCAATAACAATAAACTATAGGCTACCAACGTGTTAACATTTTGCTGTTTTTATTTTTTTTTAATCTAGAGTAAAAAAAAGAAAAGAAAAGAGGATAAGTTGATCATGATCGTACAATAGATGCTTCTATCATTTTAGCATTTTAGGTTTGATTTCTTGTTCAAAACTCAGTTCAGCGTGCTTCTAATATTTACCACTTATGAAACGGTACAATTTTATATATTTTTTACAATTTTTAAAAGACAAAAAATAAAAAATATAATAGATGAGCACCTTGCCTATCCTTCAAGATGGGTAAGAGATCAGTGCTGGGGTGGTACCACCTTCTCATGTAGAATTAGGATGGAGCTTAAAATCATTTTTAGATTTTACTAGATAAAATTTTTTTTACATATTTATTTTTATAAACAAAAGTGTTTTTTGAAAAAAAAAAAAAAACTAATCCAAACGTAGAATTAACAAAACTCCATCCGACTGGCTTTTAACCTACTGGAGGTATGCTCGCAGCTATCCATTAGAGGTTGACACGGTAAAATGTTTCTTCCCAATTTGGGGTCAATGGAACATCAACCACATTAAGTACTACTTTCACTTTTTAAGGAAAGAGTTATATAACTAATTTACAGATATTAAAAAATTAATTAAGTTAGTTATTTATCATAAATGAGTATTAATTTTTTTAAAATATTACTATTATCTTTAATTATGTGTATTAGAACTACATCTTCATCTTCATGGAACCTTCTTAATATAGAAAGATATTTTAGAGTTTTGGAGATCCAAACAATGGCGGCAAATTGTAGTTTCTCACTTTCCCTTGCTTGCCCTTCACGTAACTAAACATAATTTCATTTATTCACAATTGCAACACTTCATCATGGATATTTGTTTATGTGACGTTTTAATTTGGCTTTTCATTGATCAATTCTTTTGAAAAAAATTAATTTAAATTCCTTATATTATTATCCTATTTCAATCCAAATTTAAGTAAGGAATCTCTTGACTTAACATAAAAGAATTTTATCAATAAAAACGTTAAAAAACATTAATAATGAGAAATCTAAATTAATTCGTGACAAACTAGTAAATTTAAGATCAAGATAAAATTAAAAGATAACATTGTAAATGTTTTAATAACGGCCAAGCTAAATAAAAAAGTATGATGATGATGATGATAAAAGCTTACTTGTCTTTGACAAAAATAGAGATTTCCTCTCCTATTATCAACTTTAGGGACTTGTCAAAATTCGATAATTCATTAGTTGGATGTGATTAAATCGCAACAATGGATAAATTAAACCCATCATCAAGTACTAATGAATCAAAATTAATACTGCTGAAATTGGAAAATAAAATTAAAGTGGCATACTTAAAATAGAAATTGTATCAACCATTTTATTGTATCCGAAACATTCTCATATTTCATGTGTCCATTTTCATTTTTCCCAAACATGTCTACAATCTTTCGCCTATTTTGATGATTGATTTGGCAGAAATGTGATGGTGAGAAAATGATTTATCATATTTCTATACCAATTATGTGGTGATTGTATGATCTTTTTTGGAGAAAGACAGAAAAAATGTTCAAGAAATATATATATAAATTTCAATTCAGGACTTTGAAATGCCTAATTATCCTGAACTCATCTAGGGATCAAGTTGTGAAACAAAATTACTTACATACTTTTCATTTCAAATCACTAAAGTCTCTATCGAAGAACAAGATTTTGCATAACGAATGATAATATCTTAGACAAGGACAACTTAAGTTGAAGTCTTTTAAGGCTTCATTGAAGGGATCATGCCCGGTCGATTGGATGTGAAGACCTCTGTTGCTGCTCAAAAGAATTTTGGAAGCTGATACTGTTTCTAGTCTTGTTATAGTTTTTTATGTTGTTTTGTTAATTTCTCGGTTTTCTTTTTCTATTAGATACTACCTCCGGTCCCAATTATAAAACCTCGTTTGTAGTATACAAACGAGGTCTTATAATTAGGATTGGAAGTAGTACTTTGTACCTCTTGCTGTTTTTTGGTAATAAAATTTTCTGGTTAGGGAAGAAAAAATAGAAAGGCATATAAGGATGATGATAATAGTTTACCCATTGACAAGGTTTTTTGTGCTTTTGTGTTGACAGGAACACCTTAGTGAATATAAAAAAAATTTTGCAGTCAAGATCTTACAAAAGGAATGATTTGTCATTTTAAGACTTCTTTTTTATCCTCATGTAAATTAAAATTGAAACAATGTGTCACTCTGCGCATGTTAAAAACCTAAACCACATATTTTATTCTGAAATTTATTGTCCATGCACTTCGTTTATTATAAGTTATTTAGAAATTACAAGAATAAAACATACGTTAAAATGATATTATGAGATCTAGATAACTACTTTTTTTAATTTTCCAAGCCATGTATATTAAAACCTTAAAGAACATATTTTATTTCAAAATTCAATACACTCATGCATGTTAACAATGTAAACAACAACGTGGTCTAATTTAGAATTTATTACCAAATACATATATTATGTGTATATACAAGCAATTAATTTCATTAGAACTTGTTTTATTCTACAATTTATTACCAAACATATTAAGCAATACAAGCAATAAATTATTTTATATGGAATTTGTTATTATGCGTAAATTAAATTTCTGACAAAGAAAATTCATTGGGTTGCAGACATAAGCTTTTACAATTTGTTTAATTTTTTTTGGGGAACCAAACATAAAATGATATTAAAAAGAAGTAAAGTTTACAAAGTACATACTGAGAGTAAGAAAAGGAATTAAATAGAGAAACAGTCTTTAGAAATAACATGAAACTTATAATAAAAATAATAGTGAAGAAGCGCAAGGATTTGTTGCCAGGTAATAAATAAATGAATGGTTGATAGAGCAAGCTGAAAGTTGAAGGAATCTCTTGTCAATACTATGGATGCCCAGCAATAGTTTGGCTTGAGGGCTTAACATGGTAGATTATTTTATCCAAAATAAACATGCCCTGAGACATTTGGAAAGAAATGGTTGCCCTGCCAGAATGAGGTTTTGCTAGAGAAATTCTTTCAGGAGTTTGCATTGATAGTAGAGAATACCAGGGCAATAGTGGGTGAGCATTTTTATATTTATATAGAAGAATATCCCAATCATGCATCTGAATAATTTATTGAGGGGGATCCGAATGAAGATTTTGCTGTAGACATATTTGCTCACAAATATTGTCAAAAGCAAAGTAGAGAATGAGCTTATATGTTGAACTTCCTGAATCACTATCAAGGGATGATCTTTTTTACCCTCATGTAGAAACTTGTTTCTTTTCCGTCTAATTGTATGCAATACGCAAATAATACCGCAAATTAAAGGGGAATAACCTTGTTTTAGCAAAGCAAGGAAAGTTGAAGTGATCCAGTTTTTGAAATCCTCAAAGCTGCCGAGCTCAAGCCGAATTGAAAAACAATCATACCAAAGAGCCCTAGTATAAGGGCAGGAAAAAAACAAGTGTTCTAAGAATTCCTCTTCAACAAAACCAAACTGGCACAAAGTAATACTGTCGCCATGATGAATTTTTACATGATGAATTTTTAGGATATCAGATGTCAACAATGCTTGATTTAACAGTTTCCGAATAAATACTAGCTACTTATATGGTAGCTGTAGGTTCCACGAAAGACACCAAAAATCCCAAGAAACTAAGCTCATAATAGTAGGTGTAGACCAAAGGATCTCCATTCTATCTTTAACAAGGTACTCACATGAAGGGTTACCATTCCAGGTTAACTTGTCAAATAGATTTAACAAGAGATAGGTAAATTCATAATTTGCTTGACAATATCTTCATAATAAATAAGGTTAATTAGATGAGAATTCCAAATCACTAGATTTAAACAAGAAATATGTAATAAAAGATCCACCACCATTTTATACAATTTGTATAATTAAAATTGTACAATTTGTAAAGTTAAACTTGTAATGTTATTATTATTATTGTTATTTTGCTAAAACATAGGTATTTTCCTATTGGAGGTACTGTCGGGTACTAAATATGGACTTCTCTTCCAACAGAGATTCAAACATTGGTTCGCTACCTCGTAAGGGACTAGTCTCTTTAGCTAGACCCAATTTTAGTTGGTTAAATTGTAATGTTATTGTATCAAAAAAATAATTGTAATGTTATTGTGGGTCTCAGTCCAATTTTTTTAATGTGGTCCCACACCTAGTTTTCTTTTCTTTTTTAAAATACAGGCCCCATATATAAAAAAATAATGTTTAAATAAAATACTGTGGGGGTACTGTAAAACAAATCTATGATAGGTATAGATAGACAGATAGATATTCAGGTGAGTTAATCTTTAAAATAATATATTGATTAATTTATCTATGGTTCTTGAAATGCTTGATGGAATTATTACTTTATTATTGCAAAATCCACTTTGACAATGAGTTTGGAGAGAATTAATTCCTAATTATCAGCTAGGGCATGCCATGTGGCTTCTAAAACATGCCTTAAACGGTTAGTTTGACCATGTCCCCCCCCCCCACCTGAAATTCTTTTGTATCTGAAATTTTATACTTACCATTTTGTATTTTCTTAATATCTTCTTGACTATACCATTAAGAAGCGGAGGATGCGAATTGAAAGTGAGGCCGATGTATAAAGTAGGTACCATAAGCCACTTCACCCTGATCAAAGAGACGCCAATTTTATGGAACTCAAGGACTTCACATTTTTACACACAAACAAAAAAACAGAGAGAAGAGAGAGAAATTTTTTCATGAATGAAGCCACCTAATATATTTTCAGACGATTCTTTCAACATTTATAAAATTCTATAAGCATTATTGTGAAATAAATTTATTATCTTACTAATACATAATGTGAAAACAGAATTAATGAATCTGACAAACGAGTCTTGAATTACTTGGTTGCTATTTTCCATACTAACCTAAACAAATTTCCCAAACAAATATGTACCTTAATTTTTATTCATCAATTAAAAAAAAGAAAAACGATATAAAAGGAAATGGAAATACAATATTCTAATTCAGACATCTAAAAAGTCAAAATCTCAAGAAAAAAAATGGTACCCAATTTGGTATTTTGTAAATATAATCACATAACTAAAATGCTTTCTTATTAGCTTTTTTTTTTAAAAAAAAAAAAACTATCAAATTTGTTATTACTAGTACATTTTTTGTCATTAGTTGTTCAACACTTGTCATTATCAGTTTACAACTTATATACACAAATATCTTGTCATTGTTAGTATATTTCTTGTCATTTACTCCTTCCGGTTCAAAATACAAGCTAAACTTTGTTAGAAGAGCTTGATTTTTTTAGAACATAAAATTCACTTTTGTCTAAGCATTAATGAGTTTTTTCTAATTTTACCCTCATTTTTTTTTCTGTTTGATTCATTTATTACATTTTTACTTATTCTTTTTATTAATAAGAACATATTTGGGAGGAAAAAATATGCCTTACATATTTATTGTTTTAAACTAATTTTAATTATTTCTTAATAAAATAAATGGATAAAATTTAGGGAAAATTACACTCAGATCCCACAAAGTACAATTAATATCAAAAAGATCCCACGAAATCGCGAAATGATTCTGAAGTCCCCAGGGACCTGTGTGTAATTAATTCTAATTGTGAAATTACCTACTTACCCCTGTTAATTTTATTGTAACAATTCGTTTACAATCTCAACAGTGGCTGTTAACAACCCGAGAAGACGTGATTGACAACCTCGACAATGCTTATGACAACTCACTCTGTGGAATGCCAGGGGCGTTGTTGAGATTGTTAACCACCTCTTCTCGGGTGTTTAACAGCCACTGTTGATGTTGTAAATAGGTTCTAATTTTATTTACAATCTCAACAGTGCTGTTAACAACCCGAGAAGACGTGATTAACACCTCGACAGTGCTCATGACAACTCACTGTGTGGAATACCAGGAGCGTTGTTGAGGTTGTTAACCACCTCTTCTCGGGTTGTTAACAGCCACTGTTGAGGCTGTAAATAGGTTCAAATTAACAGGGATAACTACGTAATTTCACAATTAGAATTAATTACACACAAGTCCCTAGAGACTTCAGAATCATTTCGCGATTTCAAGGGACCTTTTAATAATTAATTGTGTTCTGTGGGACTTGAGTGTAATTTTCCCTAAAATTTAACTTATATTTTGAACCGAAGGAAATACTATTTAATAATTATCATTACCTGTTCATAAACCTTTTTATACAAAACATTTTTGTCATTTAATTATATTTACAAAATACCAAGTCAGGCATAGCTTCCTTTTTGGAATTTTGACTTTTTAGGTGCCTGAATAGGAATATTGCAGTTTTCAACTTCTTTTTATATCATTCTCTCCACAAAAAAAATTTACCCAAAAGCTAACCATTCAACTTATTGCAACCATCCCAGCATTGCCTTACCTAGAAAAGGAAAAAAGGGTTAGGAGCATAAACAATCTTAGGCAAATTTCTTTCTGCATCCTCTAGTGAACAGCTAAACCTTCATAAGGAGGAGTCCGATTATTTAAAACAGACAACGAAAGTTGTAATTGAAACTTAGGTTTCTGCTGAGGTTCATCTCCATTACTAATGACAATTTTAGGAATATCTCACACACAGCAACATTAATTAAAGGGCTTGTGACTCAGAAGCACAAGGCAAAGAACCAATGTGTTTCCATCTTCTCTTGAAATATCACACTTTCTTCTGCTGAGCCTGCACCAAAGATCTGTTATAGACAATCGACGATATTAATTTCAGTATCATATGGTAACTGTGTAATGAAATATATTTAGAATTAGAGGTCACACGTTAGTCACCATTACTCCTATTATGTGATTCAATAATTATTATTGATCTAGATTCACCAGTTAATGAAACAATCTGCAATTGCTGCTCAGGTTAAACCAGCAGACAACGAAAAAGGAAACAAGAACCGTAAATAGAAAAGAACCAAAACTGAAGAGGGACTTGTCATCAAGGCCAAAATATAAGATTATTACGGTCGATAACTTGAAGCTGGTCACAAAGTCAGTTCCTTTATGGAGCTTAGTCAAGTCATAGTCAACATACAAATTCCAAAATAGATAAATAAAAAGACAAATTCTATGATACATTAATGTTTTTCAGTTGAATATTCAATTAGGAACCAGAACGCATAAGAAATGCAAACTGAATGATTATTTAAAATGTTGGATAAAAGCAAACATAAGAAATCTAAACATTTCACATATTCATGAAGATGCAACCAAGTTTTAAATTTCTAATTAGTCACCTTTAAAAAAATTATACAAAAGCAAATGCACACAACACAGCTTATTTTGTTCAGTGACCATGACAGTAATATTATGAGCATGAACTCGAGAGTCGTGAACTCACCACACTAACTAAACAGAACTGAAACAAAACAAAACCTTTTACCTTAGCATAACATAGGGGGCCGTTACGCTCACCGCGTTGTCCTCTTACGCTTAAATTGCTTGATCTGCCCCACAATGTAATTGATGACCTCTTTCAATGTAGCCTTCCTATTTTCCTTGAAGTTCCATAGTTCAAAAACAATATATCTACCACTAGGATTATATTCATTTAATTCTCTCAAGGCCGTAATGACCGTCATGTATATATCATCTCCCCATTCCTCCTTGAGATTTCGCAACTTTTCATCATCTTCATCAATTAATTCCTGCATCAATGTAACATCAATTATGTTTCCCACATCAATCAATTTACCTGTTCTGGAAGTAATATGCAAATAGCTTGACTGGGAACTGCAGAGAAAGAAAGCAGAACAAGTACACCATAGTACAAGAGCAAGGGATCATGTTGGACTCGAACCATAATTGATAATATGCATAGTTACCTTCTAAAATAGATTGGAAGGCACATCTAAATTTCTGATACAAAATTGTAACACACCCACATGTAGAGAAAAAGATCAGTATCAATTGCAGTACACTGCGCCACACTTTTTATTCATCTCAGTGAGGGATAAATTGATACGAAGTAGACAAACAATCCCTGAAAATCAGCGACAATCTGACAAACTAACTCGTAAATAAATTTGAATCTGAAGGTAACAGAAAATATCATACACCAGAAAGATAAATTAAAAGATTATAGATATATTGAGAGAGCTTTCTTGCGGAGGTAATCCCAACAACAGCAGCCAAACCCATGGTAAACATTAATTAAAGTAGGCACGTGCCAAGCAAATTGTTTAGGGGTGGCCTATGGGAGGGGTAGTTAAGTTTTGTTGTCTTTTCTGGTATTTCTGTTGTTGCTTTGGAATTTAAGCCTCACCTATCACCAAAAAAAAAAAAAGGTACGCACATGCCAAGCAAATATTATTGGTTTTCTTTAGCGTACCTCCGCTTTCTCATGATCTGAGATCACTTTAAAAGGATGCCACGCTGAATCCTTCAAGTTCTCTTGCCACAAGGAGCACAGCTCAACACCCTTTGTCTGAGGATCTTCGAGAGCGATCTTTTTCTTGCAAACATTCACAAAAACCTTCTCATCAAGCTCTCCCATTCTCTTAATCCCAATATTAGTTCGGGCATTTAGCATATTCTTTAGCCCCTGAAAAATAAGGAGAAACATAAGGGTTCAAAATCTTCTCCTGATATAATAATCCTTGTCAAGAAAATATGGTTCACAGTTAAGCATAGTTATTCAGTTCTTTTCATATCTGAATCAAAACAAATTTGCTGGGAGGAGATCAACTAATAGTACAAAGCAGCAGGAAAAAAAAAAATAATGTCAACTTCGCTACAAATATATATTTAGTGAAGAAGCAAGAAAAATCTGTCCCTACCTCTCCCTCTCTCAACTATGTTCAATAGTTCACAAGATATCAAAATTATTTGTTCCTTATTGTTTGTACAGAGAATTGAACATGTCCAAGAAATATATACACCTTTTTCTATCTCCTTCACTCCTTCCCATAACCACGCATCTAAAAAGTGCCTCATCAGTCCCATTAGTAGCAAGAATCCAAATGCTTAGCAGACACTTCTTTAAACTATATTGCAAGAAAATGAAAAATCTTTTTTTTTTTTTGGTGAAAAAAATATTTTATTTATCGTTAACTATGTTTGCTATATGAAGAAATTTAGAGATCAGGAATCAACATATAATAAAAGAAATCATACTTCTATTAGTTCTTTACGAGCTTCTTGTAGTTCATCATTGCTCTGGCGCTCCTTGACAATAAGAGTTTGATTCATGGATTCCACATCATCTAATTCAACTTCTTTTTGTTCCAACTCATCATTCATTTCTTTAATCTTCTTCTGGACAGCATCATCATCTCCAAGATGCTTCCACACTTGTAATTTCCCCTTCAACTCTTCTATTTCCATTTCCAACTTCTGCTTCGCATCAAGCTGCTTTTCCAACTCAATAATCTTCCTCAATGCCTCCTCTTTCTCTCTCTGAAAACATTGAGGTGCATATAAGCAGAAGGAGATCATTGTGAATTAAGCTATAGGCAGCAAATGCAAGACTGCTACAATGTACACATTCTAGACAATACAAAGTAGGGAAACCTGTTGCTCTTCAATAAGTCTCAAGACATTCCCATCAGCTTTCTTCCGCTCCACAGAAGCCTTATTGAGGGATTCATTCCTTAGATCTTTCTGGAAGGAGAAAGAGATTGTATTAGTATCTCATAGATGTACATCATAGATGCTAAGAGTCTCAGAGTAAATACTAACACGCCCGCAACAATGATGGAAATTGAGTTATTAAGCATCTACTACGGGATTGCCTATGGATTTGAAAAGCAACATCATAGAAAAAAATTTCACTGGACCATTGGAGCTGAGACGCTTCATATAAAATGAATATGCTAGCTATTTTTCATAACCACTTTGAATGTAAAACTATACTAACTTTTGTAGATCTATATTTTTCCACAGTGAAACAAACTATAGGTCTAGTTCACAGATAGGGAAAAGTCTCCACTTTGCGGGTTGGTTTAGGCAAATAGATGGACCCAAAAATAGGCTTCAGCCCAGGAGTTTAAAAAAAAAAAAAAAAAAAAAGGTAAATAATGGTAGCAGACCAAGAACCAAAACAGTAATACAAGTTTACATGGGTGGTTACGGATAAGCATGTGAGATCATGGGTAAAAAGCAACGCATAAAACAAAATACTGAGACAGAAAATGCGGTGTCTCATTACCATCCTTTTGTCTTCTTCAAGCTTCTGCTTCTCTTGCTCAGTTACTACTTCTCTTTTGTTTAAATCTCTGCTCCACAAATCAAGCTTCCGCTTCTTGGCCTCTAATTCACTGTTTAACTTTTCTTGTTCATCCAGTATCCTTTGTAACTCCTCTCGTGCCCTCCGCTGCATTTTCCTTGATTCTAACAAAACATGAAGCAATTATACATCAATATCTTGCAAGTAATTTTGACATTAATGAACATAAAAATGATATCAAAATAGTATATAGTCAATGTATGGCACATACAAGCACAAAAATTCTTTACAGAAAGAAAGTAGATAAACCTTCAAGAAAAGCATGATGCAGCTGGTCTTTCTCCACAAGCATCCTACTCAATGACAAGGTCGTCTCATTGTATTTATATTGCATTTTGTTAAGGTTCTCATTTGTCATATCAATTTTCTTTGCTAGGTTTTCCACAACTTTATGCCTGCTTTTCGATGCTTCATGGACAACATCTGAGACAGTTTTTAAGCTTCCTTTCTTGCGGAGGTATTTCCCTATTGGCCCCTCACAATGATAATCATCTTCTCGAGCAATCCATCCATAAATATTCGATCCTAGCTGCACGTTTTGCATCTTCCAATCCATTTTACCAAAATGTTTTACTTCAAATGACTTCTCAAAATCTCTAGCATTCAGAAAGCCATTCCAATCATCACTAAATTCTACCACAGCTTGAGCAGTGGGGTCATCTTCATTTAACATCCGAACATCTAAGGGCCTGTATTTAGCCAACTCCTTCAGCCAATACTCAGAATTATGTAAACTCTTATCCTGTATGTTGACCATTATTCCAGTCCAGGGCCAGACATAAAGTTCATCCTGCTGAGGTTGACTGACAGGTTTTGGTAAGGGTGGTTGGACTTGCTCTCCTTCACCAGATAAATCAGTCTCCAAATATTTAGCCAGAGCAAGGTGGTTAGCCTTCTGTTTTGCACTTCTATTAGCTGAACCCTTACCCACTCCTGACGCATGTTGCAGCAAGTCTTTGTATTTGTAATCTTGCTTTTTCTTTCCAGCACAGAAAGGACATCTGAGAGTGCCATTTGAATTTTTTACTTTATGGTTCCCAGTCCTTAATTGTTCATATGGTTTCTCCTTGTACTCATCAATCTCAGATTCACTGATATCTGATTCTTCTTCAGAGCTGATGTCCATTAAGGCTCTGCATACAAAATGCCAAAATCAGCCCAAATCAGGGAAGAAAGGTTGTGTATAATTTGCTGGGAGGTAAACTATAAAATTATGAAAGCCAAAATTAGCAAAAGCTGGACAATAATATTGAACCCAGATGCATATCCAAATGAGACTGAATTAACAAATACCATTGGATGCCAAGAACCTCACCAACCTTTTTGAGAATAGCATTACTTTTACAATTTGAATGATATAAACATTGACATATCTGCCTAATAAAATATATTCCATGAAAAATTTGGCTTTAAAACTACAATGTCAATTCTAAACATCTTCACATGCAATTATTGGTTTTGTAGATGCAGTACGTGCAATATATATAATGCTTTTATAACATTTACAAAATAAAAATCTCTTGCAGTTTTTCTTTTGCTTTTTCCCCCGGTTACATAAAACAAGATTAAATTCAGAAAGTGTCAGGCTTCTAGCCACCAATAATTTGGATATCTTTGTTGCTCTGTTAAATGTCCTGAAGCCGATTGAGAAGTCAACATGATTTACCACCATTCAATATACCTAGCCATATGCCAAACGTTTACGTATTATACTATTATCAAACTGTCAAATTATCATATTAAAAACTCAGCACATACAACCAGTAGCTTCAATTTTATTTCAAAACAAAATACGTATTATCATGAAGCTAACTGAAGAAATAGCTCATCTGAAATGACAATGGCACATTACAATATCAAAAACCTTAAATTATGAAGAATTATTGCATTCACAAAACAAACGGCATGAACAATATGGGATTTCAAAATGGATCTCTGCTGTCTAATGATGAATTTCATTCAACGCCAGTACCACAAACGAGAACTTCCGCATTTCCAAGTATACATCACAAAACAGCATTTCAAACCCACAGACCATATTTCGAGATGTATACTGCAAAGTAAAGAAAACTTGAAATTTGAACAAGACAGTGCGCAAGCAAAATACCCAGTTAACATTCATTAACAAGTAACAGCTATAGGTTCCTTTAGAATCCACCTAGCATCAAATGGTCCTTTTGATGTTGCACTCCAACAGTTTCCCACAGCATCCTTATTTGAAAGAATAATCTTTAATTAGAAATTTGAAACCCCAATTCGTCCTTAGATATATGCTGTTTTCCTTGTTCAAGATGTCATGTGAGGAAGCTATTCTAATAGGCATGTGGAATGTAAATAGAGATTCCACTCATGGGCATGCTGAAGCCGAAGATGTCACCAAGAGAAACGCCATTAACAACGACAACGATGAAAAAGAGGAGAGATCGAAAATGAAAAATTTAATACACAAAAAAGTTGACACTGAAACTCAAGACCACGATAAACTGATCATGCAAAGCTCCATCGACATCAACAGAGAAACATGAATTTCACAGCCCACAGTACCAAAAAAAAAAAAGAGTTCCCATCGACATCTTCAGGCGAAATGGAGAAGAAAACGCCATACCTTTGAAAGTCGCGGAAGACGAAAGATGGCCTCTGTCGCCGTCCAAACCTCCGTTAGCCACCGTCGACAGAACACTCTTCGCACAATGCTGCTTCTCGCAGCACGATGGCTCGCCTAGGTCGGAGGGTGGACTTACTTTTACTGGTGAAATAGGAGTGAGAACTGAGGAGAGGAAACAACAACGGGGGAATTAGTATCGGTTAAAAAAAATAATTAGTATATCCGATACTAATTATAAGAGTTAGTTAATTTGAAGAGATTAAAAAAATAAATTAAATTAGTTATTTGTAATAAATAGATATTATCTTTTTTAAAATATCCTTGCTAATCAAGTGTATTGGTTAGATGTGTCATTAATAGAAAGACTACCTTGAGAAAAAAATACATAAATATGAGAGACAACGTGAATTGGGATCTTATATTTAGGATTAAAATAAAAGCAAACAAAGTCTTATATTAAAAACTGGTAGTACTTATTAGTAATTATTTTTTCTTTTTAAAGTTGATTGTAATTCTCTAAAACAATGGACACCCATGTTTTACTTTCATTTTTCTTAACTTTCTTTTTAAATAAAGATTTTAAAATTTTTCCTGAAAAAAATAAGATTTAAATTTATCTTATAAAATTATGTTAAAAAATGAAAGAAAAACATATCTTTCTAATATTTGGTATTATTGTTACGAAAATAGAATGTAAAAATTAATCTAATTATCCTTATAATTTAGTAATGGGATAATTAATCTCCAGGTCCTTATAGTTTTATCTGATTTTTAATTAGGTCCTTATAAAATTTTTTCTTTTTATCAGATCCTTTTACTTTCGTGTATTTTTAATTAGGTCCTTCTATTTTTTTTTCCTTTTTATCAGGCCCTTATAGTTTCACTTATTTTTTAATTAGGTGCTTTGTAGTTTTTGAAAAATTATTTATTAACTTTATTCTTTAAAATTAATTTCATTTTTAAATTAATAATTATATAATTGGACAAAATAATTAATATAATCATTTAGTAATTAATAAATAATCAGAATAATAATTATACTTAAATATAAATTATTTATAATCATATTTTAATTTTAGATAAATTTATTATTATAATTTGAATTTTATAATTATAAAAATTCGAATTGAAAATAAATAATATATTTGTTTAACTAAAAATTTAAAAGAATATTAACATAAGATTGTTACAATAATTTATTATTTTTAAAATGTTATTATTTGTAGAATAAAGAATAAAAACTACAAGGACCTAATTAAAAACAAAGTAAAACAATAAGGACCTGATAAAAAGAAAAAAAATTATAAGGACTTGATTAAAAATATATGAAAGTATAAAGATCTGATAAAAAGAAAAAAAAATTATAGGGACCTAATTAAAAACCAGTTGAAACTATAAGGACTTATATATTAATTATCCCTTTAGTAATTGACCTCATTTTTAGTTAAGTTCTTGTAGATCTTTTTTTTTAATTACGTCTTTCTAGTTTTATAATTTTATTAGTTCCATGGTCATTGATCTTTAGTTACGAAAAATAGAGCTAGAGGCTGAAGATGTGACTCTCATTTGTGGTATACCTGAATTAATTTTGCCCCATGACATAAATAAAACCAGAATAAAACCAATTACAAATCATATGCACAATGAGACAATTATTAGCATAAAAATTTTATTCCATCATTTTATTTTTAAAATTTAGTTTTTATTTTGTGAAAACTCACATGTTATTGAGCCAATCCTCATATCGGTTCTCTTTAATAGACTATAAGTACAGAGTTCAAGACTCATTATTATAAGGAAACTATAAAAATCCAACAAATTTTGGGCATGAAAATAAATAAATTTTTCATTATTTTTTCATAAGTATATTTGAAGGATGCAGTGAAATTTTTTTAAAAAATTATACAACAATTGAAATACACGTGCTTTTAAAAAAAAAATTGTAGCAGCCAAACTTCCCCTAAAAAAATATCGAAGTGCTATTTTTTGAAAATTAAAGGAACGTATATAATAATGACATAAGGTTACAAGTGGATCAAAAATATTTTCACTTAAAAGAAAAATCTCATGTTACTCATCTTTGAGACCATTGGCTATACAGAGCTTGGTTTGGCATGAATAAATTTCACCCTCTTGCTAACACTAATGGAGGATTTAAAATAATAATTAATCATTTTAAAACCTAAAGAGAAATCTATATTTAGATGCCTATATAACTAGAAAAATATCTTTTGCAAATTGAGAATTAGAACCACTTTGAAGGGAAGGAGCAAACAGAATAGAGAAACTTGATTTGAGAATATTTCCAAGGAAAAAAATGGGGAATAGTGCAGAGACGGAAGTACATGCGATGGAAAAGGCAGCGGAGAAGCATGAATCATGCAAGAGGAAAGTTATACAAGCCTATTTGGGCCGGCTTTGGTCCAGCAAAAACTGAAAGAAATAGCTAAAAATGTGAAAAATGATTTCATTTTATATAAAAAAAAATAGGAAGAATCCCAAAAAAATACTTTTAAAATTTCAAACCATTTTTGTTTATTACACTTTAATAAGAATTAACAACGTTTAAAAAGCAAATAATAACATATTTTTGTAGTTATTTCTGATTTGAAAATTTAAAATTTTAGAGATATTTTTTTCCAGGAGTTTCCCCCAAAAACATCCACCATAATTTAAACATGTTTCTTTTAAAAATAACATCAGAATCAAAAGCAATCATTGTTAAAATTATACATAGTTAACAATTATCCATTATCTTTACATAATATCAAGTGAAAAAATCAATTTAAAATTTTACAAAAAACTAAGATAATAAAAATCTATAATGTTCATAAAATCAATATACCACTCCAATCTTAAATGTAAGTTACTTGTAGGAGAAAGTTTTGATACTAAATATAAGTTACTAACATAATTAATGCTTTTTTTTTCAACTTTACGCTTGTTTAATTCTAATTAGAAAGGGGAAGAAAAAGAAGGGAGAGATTTATGAATGACTTGTAAATGTCTTAGAGAAACTTTAATAAACATAAAATAGGAAAATTTCGTCAATTTAGTACATTTTTTGGCATGCCAGAATGTATTACAAATAATTTATATTAAATACATAGTAGTATTACATAAAAGATGCTAGGGTATGATAGGTCCATCAAGTCTGAGCAAATTACAAATGCCACATAACATGAATCTAGCTACAAACTGGACAGATTCTAGAATAGATTAATGCAAATTAATATTGTAGCTTTTTTTTAAATGTGAATGTTCCACTATGATCCATAGCATTTAAGAAATTAATGCACATTAAATTATCATTAAAGATGCTTGATATAAACCAATATTATCACTCATCCATAAGAATCTATATATTGTAACGTGCATAAAGATACAACCAACTTCTAAGTTTCCAACTAAAATTATATAATGAATTTCAACATAACCACATATAAACATTTTAAACATTTACACGCCAAAAGATGCACATCATATAGCATGCTTGGTTCAGTGAAGACATGACGTTAATATTAACATGAGCTCAAGAATCAGTCCATTAATGCCACTTATCTAAACCAGAACTGAACTGAAATAAAACCCTACCGTACGGACCAGTTAAACTAGGATCTAGCTTCGCTCCAAAACTCTTTACCTCAACTTTTACGCTCAGCGTGCTGTCCTCTTACGCTTAAGTTGCTTAATCTGCCCCAAAATGTAACTGATGACCTCTTTTAAAGTAGCCTGCCTATTTTCCTTGAAGTTCCATAGTTCAGAAACAATATACCTACCACTTGGATTGTATTCAATCATTTCTTTCAAGGCGGTAACGACCTCCATGTATATTTCACCTCCCCATTCCTTCTTGAGATTTTGCAACTTTTCATCATCTTCATTAAGTATTAGCTGCATCAATGTAACATGGATTTTGTATCCCAGATGAAACTATTTATGCAAATAGCTTGACTGGAAACTAAGGAGAAAGACAACAGAACAATAAGAAACAGGGGAGAGCATGATGGGGCTAAAACTACAATTGATAACATGCATAGTTATTTCGAATCCAAACTTGGGATACAAAAGTGTAACACCCACACCCACATACACATTTATATTACCATTTTTATTGTGTAATTTTGAGGGAAATACATCGGTGTCATTTACACTATGCTAAGCCACTCTTTTTATTCATCTATTATAGAGCATGGCTGGCTTTATGTTGGAAATACAAAAACTGTGGTTTTGATGGAAGCAGGTAAAATCTATGGTCTTGGTGGTTGTAAAAGAAAGTCAAACGCGCGCTAAATAGATACAAATCAACCCAGGATAAAGCATGATTAAAGTAAGTAAATGGCAAACTAGTATTGTGGTTTTCTTAAGCACACCTCTTCATCATGATCTGTAGGGATCACTTTAAAAGGATACCACTTTGAATCCTTCACGTTCTCTTGCCACGAAGAGCATAGCTCGACACCCTTTGTCTGAGCATCTTCCAGATGGAGCTTTTTCTTGCAGGCATCTACGAAAACCTTCTCGTCAAGCTCTCCCAATCTCTTAATCCCAATACTAGTTCGTGTATTAATTAGCATGTTCTTTGAACCCTGAAACATACTTATAAAGGAGAAACATTAGTATTCTCTCCAGACACAATAATCCTACTCAAGAAAATATGGTTCACAGTTGAGCATGACTTTGATAAGCAAAAGTAGTTAGTTGTTTTCATGTCTGAAACAAAATAAATTTGTTTGGAGGAAATCATGTAATAGTGCAAAATAACAACAGCAAAACCTCAATCGTGTCATTTTCACTAAAAAAAATATTTAGTAAAGAAACAAGAACAATTTGTCCCTAGCTACCTCGTTCTCATGTAAGATCAATGGTTCATATGATATCAGAATTATTTGTTCCTTATTATTTCCATTGAGAATTGAAAATGTGAAAGAAATATGTGTGTGTCTTTCTCCTTCACTCCTTCACATGCATACATCTAAAAGTGCTTCAAAAGTCCCATGAGCAGCATGAATCCAAATAATTATCAGATATTTGTTTCATTATATTTAAAGGTAATGAAAACTCTATTATTTATTGTCAGCTTCAGTTTCTATAAAAACAAACATAGGGATAAAGCATAAATATATAATAAAAGAAATCATACTTCTATTAACTCTTTACGAGCTTCTTGTAGTTCATCATTGCGTTGACGATCCCTGACAATAAGTGTTTGATTCTCTAAATTCTTAACATCTAAGTCAAACATTTTTTCTTCCAATTCATCCTCCTTTTCTTTAATCTTCATCTGGAGAGCGTCATTATCTCCAAGATGCTTCCTCATATTCAATTTCCCTTTCAACAGTTCTATTTCAATTTCCAACTGGTGCTTCTCATCAAGCTGCTTTTCCAACTCAAAAATCCTCCTCATAGCCTCCTCTTTTTCTCTCTGAAAACATTGAGATGCATATTAGCAGAAAGCGATCCTTGTGTAAAAGAACTGAGTTATAATAAGCAAATGCTAGACTGCGACAATGTAATTTCGCATTCTAGACAATATAAAGCAGAGAAACCTTTTGCTCTTCAATAATTCTGAAAATATTCGCATCAGCTTTATTCCACTCCGCAGAAGCCTTATTGAGGGATTCATTCCTCACATCACTCTGAAAAGAGAGATTGGTATTAGTATCTCATAGGAGTAAACCACAAATGCCAATAGTTTCAGATTAAAGGGCACCAACTTGCCACAATAATGGAAATTGAGATATTAAACATCTAATACCGGATTGCTTATGGGTTTTGAAAAGCAATATCATGGCAAAAATTTCATTGGATCTTCAAAGCTAAGATGTTTCATATATAATATATATACTAGTTATTTTTTATAATCACTTTGTATATAAAACTGTAGTAATTTTTGCATATCTCATTTTCCCACAGTGAACAAACCATAGGTCAAGTTCACAAATGAGGAAAAGCCTCTGCTTTGGGGTTGGTTTAAGGGAATAGCTAGATCAGAAAAGGGGAAAAAAAGACGCTTCATCATAGTAACTGACGATTCTAGTAACAGACCAAAAACGAATACTGTCATACAAATTTACCTGGGTGGTTAGCGATGAGCAAGCAAGATCAAGGGGAAAAAATTATGTTCAAGACGAAACGCTGAGACAAAGGGGGGGGGGGGAGTGGTGTATCATTACCATCCTTTTGTCTTCTTCAAGCTTCTGCCTCTGTTGCACAGTTAATGCCTCTCTTTGGTTTAAATCTCTGCTCCACAAATCAAGCTTCCGCTTTCTTGCCTCTAATTCCTTGTTTAAGTTTTCTTGTTCATCTATTATCCTTTGTCTCACCTCCCATGCAGTCTGATGCCTTCTCCTCCTCTCTGACAAAAAAATGAAGCAACTATGCATTGATATCTTGCATTCGATTCACATAAGAATATAATAATGCATATCAAAATAGTAAAATGGTCGATTGAAACCATTTGTAGTCCATACAAGAAGACAAAATCTTTGCAGATAGGGAGTGGACAAACCTTGAAGAAGAGCATGCTGTAGCTGGTCTTTCTCCTCAAGAATCTTACAGAGTGACAGAGCCGTCTCATTGTACTTGCATTGCAATTCTGTGAGGTTCTCATTTGTCATATCAATTTCATTCGCTAGGTTTGCCACAACACTATGTCTGCTTTTGGATGATTCATGGACAATATCTGACAAACTTTTTAAGCTTCCTTTCTTCCGCAGGTATTTCCCTATTGACCCCTCACAATGATAATCATCTTCCCGAGCAATCCACCCATAAATGTCTGAGCCTGGCTGCATGTTTTGCAGCTTCCAATCCGTTTTGCCATTATGTTTAGTTTCAAATGACTTTTCAAAATCACTAGCATTCAAAAAGCCATTCCAATCATCGCTAAATACTACCACAGCTTGAGCAGTTACGTCATTTTCATTCAACATACGAACATCTAAGGGCCTGTACTTAGCCAATTCCTTGAGCCAATACTCAGAATTATGTAAGCTCTTGTCCTGTATGTTTACCATTATTCCAGTCCAGGGCCAGACATAAGGATCATCTCGCTGAGGTTGACTCAGAGGTTGTGGTAAGGGTGGCCCTTGGGCTTGCTCTGCTTCACCAGATAAATCAGTCTCCAAAAATTTGGCCAGAGCAAGGTGGTTAGCCTTTTGCTTTGCAGTTCTGTTAGCAGAACCCACACCCACTCCAGATGCGTGTTGCAGCAAGTCTTTGTATTTGTAGTCTTGCTTTTTCCTTCCAGCACAGAAAGGACATCTGAGAGTGCCATTTGCAGTTTTTACCTTATAGTTCCCAGCCCTTAGTTGCTCATATGGTTTGTCCTTGTAGTCATCAATCTCAGATTCACTGATATCTGACTCTTCTCCAGAGCTGATGTCCATTCAGGCTCTGTATACAAATACCAAAATCAGTCGCAATCAACAAAGGTTGTGTATAATTTTCTGGGGGGAACATAAAAAACTATCAAAGCCAAAATTAGCATTATATAACTTAGCAAATGAGAAACATATTTTGGGCAAGGGGCCTCTAATGCCACTTACGACGCCCCAACCTCTCAAAGGATTTTTACATAAAATTATTGACATTTTGATGTCTTCGGGATGTGAAATGGGGCGGTTTTGATTTTTTTTTTTTTAACAATTTTTCACTCTCAAAATGTCACTAATTTACGTAGGATATAATATTCTAATAATTAATAGGCATAAAAGCACAATTTTTGGGAGGTTGGCCATCACATGCGGCATTAGAGAATGGGGCCTAGCCCCTTGCCCCATATTTTGCATGAAGGACCAAATGGGAAATATTTGAAAATTGGGCAAGAAACGTTGTAAAATCAGCAAGAACACTCAAAAAATAACTAAATAAGTAACCTCACCCATAGACTCTCTTGAGGAGTGAAAATTGCAGCAGGTACAAAATCCTTCAAAACTCAGTAAGAAAGGCTCCCCAGTCAGTAAGAAAACTTGTAAAATAAGCAACACATCTTGCACATTTTTGAGGTCCTTCTATTTGGTCACAAGGAGAAACTTTTCTTACGATAAATGAAAGGTTAAAACTGAAACTCAGATCGTTACATCGCTACATACAAAGCTCCGTCGACTTTTACAGGGAAACAGGAATTTTGCACTCTCACATCGCAAACAAAAGTAACGTTCCATCGACATATTCAGGGAAATGGCGAAGAAAACAGCGTACCTTCGAACGTTGCGTATAACTATGAGCGGTCTCTGTCGCCGTCCAAAGCTCCGTTAGCAGCCGACGGAACAGCACTCTCGGCACAATGCTTCTTCTCGCAGTCGTAGCGCAGAGGCTCGCTCAAGGTTCTGTAAGAGAAGCTGAAAGGACTTAGTGCCGTTTGTGAAGGTTAAAAAAAAAAAAAAAAATGGAACGTTCTATTAATTTCAAAAATAACTTTCGGATCAATTTTGGGCAAGGAGATAAAAACAATATGTATTTTTTTTAATTATGAACTTGATTAAAAATAAAAATTAAAATTAAAATAATTTTTATACAATTTTAATAATTATGTTTATTAATTTTAGTAAGATAATTAAAATAACTTATTTGTATTATACAATAAATATATTTCACCTCATGCTTGTTGGTACATTAAAATCTTCCACTTCGTTCCCTTCTTTATTTTTTTTTTTTGGCCAAGCATTCCCTTCTTAATTTTATCCCATCTAGGAATAAATATTTCTCCTAAGAATGATTATATGGTAATCCCATAATTATCCTCTCGACATGTGATACCTAATCTTATACTCTCCGCTCCTTAATATAGGGCCCAATTCTTGAGTTTGTTTTGGTCCTAAATATAAGACCCATTTCTTATATTTATCAATTTTCTCTAAATTACCCCTATAGATACTCCCTCAACCATAATCAAATAGAAGAAGGAGAGGGGATATTAAAAAAGATGATTATGGTGTTTTAGGAAAAATGTGTCACTTTTCTTATAATTAACTAACTTACCTAACTTTCTTAATCTAATCAAATTAGTTAAATGGGTCTTATATTAAGGACCGGAGGAGTATTTTTCCTTCTTGAAATATCATTTTAATGCCTCACGAACGTATTTGGAACCATCTTGTCATTATTAAAACTTTTCTCATTTTTCTCAATTTTTCCTTCGCATTCTTGGACATTTCCAAATGTTTCTAAAGCTTGTCTTGAGTTCACTAACTCTTGTTTAATCTGTTAACCAATACCTCTTATTTTGCACTTCTAACTATTTAGGTCTAATTTTTGGGATGTTACATGTAACATCCTTACTTTTGCAACACATTTATGGTGAATTTTTTATGGTTTTGCTATTGAAGTTTGATGTTAAGATGTAATTTAATAATTCATGTGATTGGATTGGAATATAGTTGTAAAAATGTTTATTTTAGAATTTAAGACCAAAATAAATCACTATATTATTTCTTATATTGAAGATGGGAGGGAATAATTTGTTCATTCATTACTGAATTCATTGTCCCAAATGACAATTTGGTTCAAAGAATCATAGAAAATATATATAGCATAATGAAATGATGGTTAATTATGGAAAAATTTTTTGGTATGTCATTAAAAAAAAATCATGAAATGAAATTTATATTTTATTTATAAAAATAAAAAAAAATGTGGGATGATCTTTTTAACTCTATGATAAGGCAAAAAAAATAAAGGATATAAATGACTAAATACACATTAATTCATGGAAGGTATTGATGGTTATAGACTAATAGTTGATTCATGTAAAGTTGAATATGGACCGTCAAAGTTTTGTAATGGAGAATACTTGATTTGTTGTAATTTACTATAATACTATCTCCAATCTTAGTATAAGAGCTAGTTGATTAATTTAAATAAATTAAGAAAATTTGTTAAGTCAGTTATTTATAATAAAAAAGTGTTATTTTTCTTAAAATACCCTTACAAATTGCAAATTATGTGTATTAGTCAAAACTACTATTGGATAGAATATTTAACGTATGCAACTATTAGAAAAAAAATAGATATATATGAGAGACAAAGTAAATTAGGGTATTATATTTATAATTGAATTAAAAGTCAAACCTAACTCTTATATTAAAATCAGAGATAGTATTACTTTACTTTATTAACAGAATACCCTGAATCAGTAAAATGCATCTGTTAGAAACAATCTCACCCAAGAGGGGGTGAATTGGGTGAGTTACAAAAAATTATAATCAAAAGCGTGTAAGTATTGAATAAAAACAGAGAGTCAGAGTATGGAGAATTTTAACCGCAGAGAGGAGACACAAGATTTATACTGGTTCGGTCTAAACCACGTGACCTACTTCCAGTCCCCAGAACACCTCTGGGTATTTCACTATCTTCCAAGATCGACAGGGCTCTTGGTGCCTCGGTACAGTAATTGAATCGCTCAATCACTCCCCCTTACTCCCGTAAGGATACAACCCCTCTCAAGAGTCCACACGCTTGAGTGTCACTCAAGTTTTAATAAGAGTAGTAATTGGCTCTCTTACAGAGTGAATTTAATGATAAACACTGATGCTCGGTAGTAACGTGAAAACAGAGTATTGAATGCGTAACTAAATAATCGCAGGTGGTAGTTCCGGTATTCAATCTCTTCATTAATGCTTCTTCGCGCCTTTTATAGTTGATATCGTTAAGTAGCCGTTAGACGGAAGAGCTTCTAGCCGTTGTGACTTCGTTTGCGTGTTTCGCTGGTTTCAACGGCTCCGCCATTAATGCGTCTGAGCTTCTGACACTGTAGGTCGCAGTCTATGTAATCCTGTTGAAGAGCCGTTGCACTCGTTTTCATTAATCTGCATATTTTAAGTTTTGAACAAATGAGAGTTTTGTGGTGAGTGCTTTAATCTTGAACACAGAAAGAAAACAAATTTATCATTCAAAGATTTGTGACGAAACCATTTATCAGTAAGAAGAACAGAAAGTCATTCTGGTTTAGTTTGATCGAAAAGATGATCGATTACTTGATGATAGATCAAGTTATCGATAAACAGAATGAAGACTTTTCGAATTAGATCACCAATATTATCGATCAAGTGTTGGATCATTGACTCTAAGAATTATCATAGAAAGAGGAAATCGTTCCATGATCGAACAAGTGATCGAACACATGTTTGATCGAACAGATTATCGATAATTCAAATGTTATTGAACTGAAGCTTCAGTCATTGATGATCGAACATCTTATCGATAAATGTATGGTGGATAATGTTATCGATAAAACATGGTTATGTATATATTCAATGAAGGACACAGCTATCTGAAATGATCGAACAGATGATCGATCAATGAACATTCGAACAAGTGATCGATAAAGAGAAGAAAGAAGTTTAATCCTGTAAGGTAAAGGAAAAGATTATCGATCACGTTTTGTGAAAACATGAGTTCTATGATCGATCATATTATCGAAAAACCAGTGATCGATTACTTGATCGAAAAATAGTTCACCATAACTTAATGCGAATAAATCAATCCTTAGTCTCTTTATCGATCATGTTATGTGAAAACTTTTTTAAGCAAACAAGTTAAATTTGTCGATAATGTTATCGATAATTTGGTTGAGGAAAAACTGAATAAGAGTAGATAAAGACATTGATTATCGATCATGTGATCGATAATTTTATGATCAATAAGGTTATCGATCCATCAGTGAATTTGATCACCTGCATTCAGAGAGTTAGAGCATAAAGTTCGAACACGTAATCGATAAACAAATGATCGAAAATATGATCGATAAATTGGTAACAGAATTAATGTGCAGAACAAGTAGATTGTGTTACCTTTTATCGAAGTCGTTATTGATGACTGATTTATCGATAACTTGATCGATAAGTACACTTCAGATTTGGTTCTCTTATCAGTAACTCGATTGTTTACCTGATATTATCGATCAGTTTATCGATAATTAACCATACTCTTATGTAATTTTTACGTTAGCGATAATCGATCACTTTATCGATTAATTGTTCATCGAATAGTTCTTCGATCCAAAAGCCTACTATAGACCTGATTTACACTTGATCATTTATCTGAAACCTTAGCGATAAACGATTGATCGATCAGTTGATCGATCAAAATACTTAACCTTGATATTCTGACTTTGTTATCATCAAAACTATAATCCTAACAGCATCAACATGACAAATAATTATGAGGCACGAAATTCAACCAAACTTCCCCCTTTTTGCAAGTAAAAGTTCTAGTGCTAGAACAAGCAAGGAATTAGAGAAGTGATTTCTCATTTCATCCATTGATTCCTTTGATTTGTCTCTGCCTTTATCTGAGCTGAGCTCTCAAAAGTTCTTAAATTTTTCAAATTTCATTCATCTGTGTATACATACTTGGTAGAAAGCTAGCAAGGTTTAAAATTTTTAAT